AAGTTTGTGGGACTTGTCTCTTTATTGTCCAGTCAGAGGCTACTTCAGCTTCTGCAGTCCATGGTTTCTTCTCAGCACCGTCGGTCTCTCTGCTTCTCTTTTTTTACTCTCCCTTAAAAGGGAATCAATAGGATGTCTGCATCCACGTCAGTGAACTAAGTAAGCCCTGCATTTGAAGCATAATATACTATTTTTTTTCTTGTACTATCAGTGTATTGAAGTAGATTTTACTGAAATATGTATTATAAAAAATACAAATGTGAAAGAAAACTGTGACTTTTTTTATTCAGGTGTGTAGAAATGACTTCACAGCCTTGAGTTCTGAGAAATGAAAAGATGGAGGATCTTTACCAACAGCTGTACGTCATTTCAGTAACATAGAATATAATTTATCCCTTTTACAACTGCAAATATTGCTTAATTTCGCAGATTTTCAGAATTTGTTTGAAAGTATATGTATTTTTTGTCTTTTTATTTTCTTAAAATCAAATGTTAAACACACCTACATAGTGTAGGTGTACATACATGACAAGAACATACATTTTTCTTTGCACAATCAGGGTTTCCCCAGAAGATGGCGCTACTGGTATTCTATCTATTCCAGGATGACCCAGTCCAGCCCGTTCTATCATGGGACTTTGAGATGCTTCCTCACTCCAGCAGTTGAAGCAGTTTGTTTGATTCAGGTGTTTTGGAGAAGGGATGCACTATACAATACAGGCTCTACTGCCTTGCAGCAAAAAGGTCCTGGGTTTGAATCCCAGCCAGGGCCATGGAGCTTGCATGTTCTTCTTGTGCATGCATATGTTCTCTCCAGGTACTCTGGCTCCTTCCAACAGTTCAGACACATGCATGTCAGGTTAATTCCAGCTCTATGTTGATTTTAGATCGTTCCTCTTTAGTTCCAAAAATTATAACTTCAGTTTTGTTTCTGTTTAGCTGGAGAAAGTTATGGCACATCCACACATTTATCTGTTCTAAGTAGCTGGTCAGTGCTTGGATGGGTTCAGAGTCACTTGGTGACATCGTAATGTGACTTCTGTCTGCTTTGATGAGAAGTTATTTATTGAAACAAAGAAATCAAATGAAGGGAAAAATCAAACAGAACAAAATGGTACAGCAGGGGGCCGACCCTATACAGGCCCGTCGAAACTCCTACTAGTACCGGACTAAAGCAAAAAAGAACCTAATGCAAAAGAAAGATCGAAACCAGGACAACCGGTCCCACCAGCCCAAAATCACAACGAAAAAGCAAACAAACAAAGGCTAACAGAAATGCCGCATGGCAGGCTGGAGACGTCAGCTGCGGCCCACAGCGACTGGACGAGCGTGCAACGCGTCAAGACGCGTCCCCGGTGGTTGTGGAGCGAGCGGAAGGGCGGATCTCCAACATGTCGAAACCCAGCCTATTTATAGGCGGACCAACAGCGCCACAAATTAACAATCAAATTAATTACCAAAAATAAGAAGTTATCCTAACTCCAAAATATATTAACAAAAGGTCATTCAACTAAAATCTATAAAAAAAACAAAAACAAACAATGAATGATATACAAAAATTATAATGTGCCCGTAGCACATAACACGGTCTGAGACCCATGAGAAATTAAGTTCATGCAGGTCGGACACCTTCCACAAGGAGAGTAAAGTACACAAGGCTAAAGAAGCTGACAGTTCATGGTGCTGGACAAAAGCACATTGATGGAAAGTTGAATGGAAAAAAAAAATTGTGGTTCTAAAAAATGAAGACGACAGGGTGAGCAAAGGGTGTTCAAGAGTTTGGTGGAGATTTTCAGGTCCAATGCAGACATATCCAGGTCATGTGATACAGAGATACACTCCTGATCAAAATCTTAAGACCAGTCAAAAAATTGCAAGAAATTGTATTTTGCACTATTGGATCTTAAGAAGGTTCTAAGTAGAGCTTCACAATGTTAAAGGAAGAAATCGGCGTAAGAGACAAAAACTTTTGAGCGGGGAATTAATTGAAAACTGCATTTACACTCAAACATGATAAAAAGTTTAAGACCAAAGCTCAAAAACCCCCGAAAACCCCCAAAACAGAAATCAAAGTGTCAAAAAAAAGGACTCAGCAATGAGTAGCTCCACCATTCTTGTTGACTTCAAACAATCGTTTAGGCTTGATGCCAGTGTTTCCAGGAGGCTAGTGGGAACGTTGCTCCAAGTATTGAAGATGGCTTCATGAAGGGCATGCACTGTCTGGAACTGATGTCTATTTTTCTAAACTTCCCTTGCCATCCATCCCCAAATGTTCTCAATTGGGTTTAGATCCGGGGAACATGCAGGATGGTCCAAAAGAGTGATGTTATTCTCTTGGAAGAACTCCTTTGTCAGGCGGGCATTGTGAACTGCAGCATTGTCCTGTTGAAAAACCCAATCATTACCACACAGACGAGGGCCCTCAGTCATGAGGGATGCCCGCTGCAACATCTCCACATAGCCAGCTGCTGTTTGACGCCCCTGCACAACCTGAAGCTCCATTGTTCCATTGAAGGAAAACGCACCCCAAATCATGATGGCGCCCCCACCACTGTGCCGTGTAGAAAACATCTCAGGTGGGATCTCCTTGTCATGCCAGTAACGTTGGAAGCCATCAGGACCATCAAGGTTACATTTTTTCTCATCACTTTTCAATGTCCCATGTTTGGTGCACCCTTGTAAAGTCCAAACGGGCAATTTTGTGGCGTTGAAGAAGACGTGGCCTTTGAAGACGTCTTTTGTTTCTGAAGCCCTTCTCTCGCAGATGCTGTCTGATGGTTATTGGGCTGCAGTCAGCACCAGTAATGGCCTTAATATGGGTAGAGGATCATCCCGTGTCTTGACAGACAGCCAATTGGATCCTGCGGCTCAGAGCTGGTGAAATTTTTTTGGGTCTACCACTTGACTTTTTTGTTCCATAACCCTCAGGATCATTTAAAAAATGCAAAATGACTGTCTTACTGCGTCCAACCTCAGCAGTGATGGCACGATGTGAGAGGCCTTGCTTATGCAGCTCAACAATCCTACCATGTTCAGTCAGTGAGCTTTTTTGCTTTTGCCATCAGGAGGTCTTGACAGTGTAAAGACTTGACAGGAAGTGACATGGAATCCAGATTTTTGCACAGCTTTTGGCTTTTATAGACTATGGTCTTAAACTTTTGATCAGCTGAAAAAATCTTGTTTCAGTGTAAATGCAGTTTTCAGAAAATTACCTGCTCAAAAGTTCTTGTCTCTTGCACTGATTTTTTCCTTTAATATTGTGAAGCTCTACTTAGAACCTTCTTAAGATCCAATAGTGCAAAATGCAAATTCTTGCAATTTTTTGACTGGTCTTAAGATTTTGATCAGGAGTGTATCATTTCATTTCAGATGAAAGTAAAGTTTTCATTTCATTTGGAGATCAAGGTGCCACAGTCTTCAGGAAGAATGGAGAGGCACAGAAATGAAGTCCAGTGTTAAGATTCCAAAGTCAGTGATGGTTTGCGCCACCTGCTTGTTCCAAAAACACCTGAACTGTATAATTCTGCAGTATTTAAGAGAATTCCACAGATGATGCAACTACTGAGCTGAACTTCAAAAGTCCACTTTCAGATCTTCTTTCTCTCAGAATGAAGTGTCTCCCTGTCTGTCTGTCTGTCTTCCTCTGGTGTGACAGAGTTCACTGGACTGTCTTCTGTTGCTCCTGCAGCGATGATGCTGAAATAATCAGCAGAACTTTCTTTGGTTTCATCGTGGATCAAACAGTGAAGGTATGCAGGTCTGCTTGGACAAACAGCAGGACAGAATGATGTCAACATGAACTGAGTCACAGAGGCACTGACTGATGTTTGCTTCATCTGAAAAGTTTTCACACGTGTAAGAGAATAACAGGTGAGTAGAAGAAACAATGGCTACAACAAAAGAATAAGTCATAATCGGCTTGATTAAGGTGTCGACTTAAGTCCAACTGAGTTTAGATTTAATGTGCTGAAACCACTAAGGATTTGGGAATCAACTTCTCTAATGCAGATTAGTGATTCATCAGCTGAACATGCCTTTGATCCAATCAACAGGACATGTCTGCTCCTCTTTAACCCACCAGAACCTTTGATTGTCCTCTGGCTGTTACTGATGTTTTACCTATTAGTATTAGGTCACATTGTCTTCATTTCAAAGGATACTGCTTTCAGTTTCAAACCCGTCAGGCTGACTTCACCTTCGTTCCTCCCGTTTACATTCAGAAAGTTGAATCAGCTCCACATTTTCCCTCCTGGGTGTTCCAGTATTTCCTCTTCACAGCTCACTGGTTTGCATATTGGATCCATTGCAGAGAATTTCTTTAGAATTGAATATGTGACTTGTCTTGCCTGGACATATTCTATGATTAATATACAAACTAAACTGGAATCCAATGAGCAGATTCTCAAAGATCCTCAGAGTCTCAAGGAGCTCAAGAATGTTTCATTCATCTGCTGAGCAGAGGTGGATGGATTGATGTAAAATATTGATACATCAGTATCAAGTCAATACTTGAGTTTCAGATTTTCTCTTGTAATTTTATTTTTGTACTGTAGTCTCTGAACTCTACCTGTTTTGATTTGCTTTCATGACACATTTTTGCACCCTCATTTTTACATTTCTATTGTTATCATGTTAATATGTTACATGATAAATGACATTAATATGTTACAAACACCTATAAACTTTGTCCAAATTCTATCCTAGGTTTGAACAAAATAATTCAAACCACAAAAACGTTCAGAAGGTTCAAAAGTTCAGAAGTTTGATGACATTTCAAACTTAAATCTAAAGTGTCGGTATCAGCGGTACCGGCACTACTGGTGTCGGATTAATACCAAAAATTGCAGAATTGCAAAAATTCAACAAATATTTTTTTCTTGTTTAATGCTGGCTCATAAGTAACTTAATGGAGCACTAGTGCTCCATTAAAACTTTTTTTTAATCTAACTGCCAGCAGATTGAGACTGGAAGTGATTGAAGGCAGGATCAGGTAGACAATGTTCAGAGTAAAAACAATCACTTTATTAGTAATCATGAAGTGTTGTTGTCGTCATGACAACAAGACCACTCCCCCCCGTGCCCACCCACATCACTACCCAGAACCTTACAGAGTGCAAGGAATAATTTAAGACAGTCAGGCTGTTTATAAATAACTGCAGTGATCAAATGTCAGGAAATGAAACCCTCAGGTCCTCATAGAGCCAGAAAACCCAAGAGCCTCCCACTCCTCACCCCCTCCTCCCCCACCAGGCTGTTCAGTCTCACCATCAGAGTTCCAGCAGAAGGGATTCCACAGCAGCCAGCTTCACACAAACAGGAAGGTTTAAGACAAGCTCAGCATCAGGTCAAAGGTCAGGTTCCTCTGATGTGGCCGTCTTGGTTTCAGCTGGAGCTGTGATTGGCTGCCTACAACAGCCTGTGAGGCTCCTCCCTGAAGCTGATGTCACAGAGCAGGGCCAGGTGGTCTGAGGGGTAGTGGTATGAGGGCAGGCGATCGGGTCCGATCTGCTGCTCTGTGGGGATGTCCAGCAGTGCCTCCACCCTCAGGGCACGCTCGCTGTACCAGATGTAGTCCAGAGTGCTGCAGCTCTCTCCAGATGGGCGGATCTTCCAGCTGGTGTACGCCGGCTCTGTCTGCCCGTCACCGCTCAGTAGCTTGTAGGCGGAGCTCAGGCCCAGAGGGGAGGAGCTAAAGCGCCTGTAGACATCCTCTGAAGGCTCGGCGTTGAAGTCCCCACACACAACCAGAGGGACTTGCCCTGGCCCAGCCCCCGAGCCAGGGGCCGTGATGCCCTGCAGGCTCTGCAGCAGGTCGGCACCTTGCGCGCTCCGCAGCCTCTCCCAGCCGCTGCGGGCCTTCAAGTGTGTGACGACCACACACAGCTGCCGGCCCGTGGCCAGGCACCGCAGCGTCTGGGCGATGGCCACCTGGTTGGTGGGCAGCATCATGGCCGACAGCCGCAGGTGGGCTGTGGAGTGCAGGTGGAAGCGCGAGCGGCGGTAGAACAACGCACAGCCGTCAGGGCCATTGTTGTGCTCCACATCCAGACAGGGAGACCAGGGTTTGGGTAGGAAGTTGCCATGGTAACCGAGGCTTGCCATAACGGGCTGGAAAGTGTCATAGTAGTGGTCGACTTCCTGCAGACACACGATGTCGGGTCGGTAGGTGAGGATCTCCTCCAGGATCTGGTACTTCCTCTCATGCCAGCTGAGAGCCTCTAGGGGGCAGCGGATGAAGCTGTCCTTCCCCTCACCGAGAGCTGCACACACACACACACACACACACAAACTCACAGCATGAACACACAGTAGCTAACAGAACACAGCTCCTCTCAGCATACAGAGCCTTACCTTGGGCCAGGATGTTCCACTGCAGGACCCGTATGGACGGGTTATGCTGGTGGCTGCAGAGCGCCAGCAGCTTGGGTCGGACCAGGTCCCGCTGAGGCCGGGCCGGGCGCCGCCGCAGCGCCTCCTCACACTCTCTCAGCAACTGCTCCGGCTCCACCTCCACTATGTCCTGGTCCTGATCCGGGTCCGGGTTGGGCTGGGCCAGAGAGGAACTGCTCAATGCCTGGGCCATCGACCCAAACAACCTGCTACTGCTGCTGCCCATTGGACAAACTGTGGGGGGGCAGGACAGAGACGCATTAGTCACAGGAAGCTGGGGTCAAAGGTGAAACACGGTGGGGGTGAACTGCACTGAGGTTGATTTGCTTCAGCCTGTAAGGCCGTGGTTCTGTTAATTAAGGTCAAGTCTAGTTTATTTGTAAAGAACATTTCAGCAACAAGGCAGATGAAAGTGTTGTACATCATACAGTCAACAATTATGAAACAAACATTACATTTTGTCAAATGCCATCAACAAAATCAAGGAAAGATAAATCAAATATATTGATCAATGTTCAGTTCTGATTCTAAGGCGGCTGTAAACATTGTGTCATCCCCACATAAATGAGCTGCAACAGTTTACATATTAATTAATTGCAGTTCAGTTTATTCATTCAATTTGTAACATTTAATCCAGACTTCTCAGTTATACTCAAAAGTGAAAATGTGCAAATGATCTGTTCTCAGTTCTTAAAAGTTGAAGTTAAATGACCACACCAGTCTGAGTAGACTTCTTCTGCTGACTGGACCAGTAGCCTACTGAGCACTGCTGCCACCTAGTGACTAGATGTTGTTTTATGGTTCAAGCATGAATAAAAGATCCATCCATCCATCCATCCATCCATCCATCCATCCATCCATCCATCCATCCATCCATCCATCCATCCATCCCTAGTGGGGTCACGAGGTGTGCTTGTGCCCATCTCCAGCGGTCAACAGGTGAGAGGTGGGGTCACCCTGGACAGGTCACCAGTCCATCACAGGGCAACACAGAGACAGACAGGACAACATCAAGGAAGCACACCTAAGGAGAATTTAGAGAGACCAATAAACTTGACAGTCATGTTTTGGACAGTGCATGCACCGGGAGAACATGCAAACTCCATACATAAAGACCCTGAGCCGGGATTCAAACCCAGGACCTTTTTGCTGCAAGGTAACAGTGCTACCAACTGCCCCACTGTGCAACTCATGAATAAAAGATATGAATACCAAAGTCCTGTTGCCTCTCACTCCCCCTCAGACAACTCACCACCTCACTATTTGAAAAGAACTGCTTTAAAGAAACTGGATCATATGGATCCAACAGAGGAGGAAGCCAGGTACCAATGGTCCCAACGTCTAGAACATTCCTGTAGCTGGGAACCCAAACTTGAACATCTGCTACTGCACCAGGAGTACAGTACATATATGTACTGGGTCAGAAATTGATCTATGATTCTAGTAGGGCGAGGTGGTTGTCTAAAGACAAAGGACCATTCAGGGTCAAGTCCACTGCAAAGTGTAATTAACAGCTGCACATCGGTAAACAAGACTTCAGTAAGCTGAGAGAAGGACGATTCTGCTTCCCTGTCAGGTCTTACACTAAACAGCTTTGAGGGAATCTCCTAAGCTGGAGTGTGAGTCGGCCTCTCTGATCTACAACAGCACCAGGTGGAGGAAGGAAGGGTCTTACCCATGGCCTCCTTCTTTGGTCAGATCTGAATCCACAGAGCAGGACAGTCCGTCTGTCAGTTCCTTCTCTGATAGTCCTGCACTAGAACGGCCCTTCCTCCTGTCTGCTGTGACTCAGCTTAGTGTCTCATCCTCCCCGACTCATCAGGCCCCTCCCCTTCCTGCTGGCTGGGTGACAGAGTGACCTCTGGGAGACACACTAAGCCAGGCTCAGACCAGAACAGCTCCTTCATTGTGATGAAGATGAGGGTTGATGAACAAATGAAAGGAGCTGCATGCGTTTAGATAGAGGCTCAGAGTTCAGAACCATGTTAGTGCTTTTCTCAAATAATTTATTGCTGAAATAGAAAGTGTATGTCAGAACTTCTACACTCAGACCTTAGAACTTTATTTCTTTCAGAGTAAAGTTTATTTACGTCAAACTGGAGTGACCAACATGCAACGGTGTGAGCCTCCAGCTGTGAAATTAACATAAGATCTAATCAACAGCTTTTTCTAGGATGTGAAACAACCACAGTATCTCTGAAACCAACATGGAACTACTGAGCAGAAATACAGAAGATTCAGGTCTGAACCAGAATCTTCACATCACATTGCTGCCATAAACCCTGAGAATGGAGGTAATCATATATTTCCATCTATTTGTGAGCCCATGAATGTAGCACGGTTAGAGATAACCTTGGAATAAAAAGGTAAGGAAAAGGAAAAAAAAAAAAAAAAAAGCTTTCCGTTTGCATTACCTCTCATTCTTCTTCTCCTCCGGTTAGGCCAAGTCCTGTGCTGGCTCTCACTTGATTTGAGCTGAAAATCTAATCAATCAGATCAACCAGAATGGTTACTATGCTAACTGACAGAAATGCCCTCTAAACAGATGAATGGAGCCCTGCCTTGGAAGTATTCTGTCACCGACGGTCATATTGGACGGATGTACTCGACCTTCAGAAATGCTAGTGTGGAAGCAAACTACTGCTGAGATCTAAGAAACACGCAGATAATCACAGGGTTTTGAATCACAACCCCAGAACTCAGAACCAGATCAGGTCTGTTCTAAAGATAAAGTTCTTTAGTCTGCTCTGTAAGACCAAATGGATTAAACCTAGTATTTTCTATCCATCTAAACACATCCACACACTGATAGGCGGCAGTATCTACAGGTTTACTGTCTTGCCCAAGGGCGCTTTGACATGTGGCAGGGCAAAGCTGGAGTCAAACTCTTTTCCACTGATGCCCTGCCTCTATCAGAAACACAAACTGATACTTACACCACCTACATCCTACATGGACTCAGTTCCAGTCAGTCTGAAGGATCTCCACGGAACAACTGACTGTCGCCACCCGTCCTCTCCGTTGGACCTTTAGTCATCCCACGGTCTTTCTCCTCTGAGCGGTGCCGAGTGACAGCACACAGTCATCATGACACAGAGCAATGACTCACCCTCAAGAATGGTCTTATTCTCCCTCAAACAGGCACACACACAAACCAGGCCAAGTAGGCAGTGCAATGAGAAGCTCAGTCAACTGGAACGTCAGGATACATGGCAGAAAGGCAACAGGCCTGATAAATCTGAACTCCTATGACTCAATGAACTCTCTGACTTTTGCACCCAAATAGTTTTACTATTCTGAAGCAATCTATCATATTCAGTCCAGCTGTGCAACATCTGGAACTGACACAGAACCTGCACAACATAGCTAGCAGCTAACCGTCACTATCAACAAGAAGTTCAACATCCCAACTGGAACGCAACTAGACCAAATCACTCAAGGAACATTATTAGCTCTTTTTTCTGGTATTTTAAGCATGAAGTCTCAGGACAGTACAGATTTACTCCAGAACAGCCTGGTGGCACACATTCATCTGTAGAAGAATGAGAACCCATAGCAGCACCAATCACATGCCCCCCCCCACTAACTGAATTACCAGGAACACAAATTAGATTCACTTACACGGAATGTGAAAGAAATGACAGTAAATCATGTGATGGAAAACAAAAGCAAAGCCTTTATACAGAGAGGGAACTAATTACAGAACCATTAACAGATATGAGCGCTAAAGCTTCCAATAATGAGGAGGAAAAGCTGGAATATTTTCCATTGGAAGAGAATCTGATAGAACAATGAATAGATGGTACTGCATAACCCAATCTCTCTTGGATATCAAGACAGGGACAATGATCCTGATAAAAGAAACCATTGCAATTCCCATTGGACCATTAGCACTGGACAACATCAACATAAATGATAGGATACATTTTTACTACAATGATAGGTTTCCAACTGGGACATGGAAGAAGTGCAATGAACTGATGGAAAATGAACAGAACTTAATCTGTGCTCTTTTTTTTTTTGAAAGGAGATTGGTGAGGGTGTTCCAACTACCAAGGGATCACACTTCTCTGCCTCTATGGAAAAACTTCTTGTAGGGGTTGAAGAGGAGATTTAAACTCATTGCCATACGCTAAATTCAGAAGTAATACAGCTTTTGTCTCAGCCACACAACAGTGGACCAGATCTTTACCCTCAGAGTTGAGGGAACTTTAGCTATATGGTCAACAGGTGTTTTGTGGCGTCAGAGAAAGCACAGGACCGTGCCACTTGAGGTACCAGTGAGATCTTTTAGGACCAGATTCCTGATGCTGTGTCAAACTCTTCACCGGTGAAGATTGGACACCTATGTTCCCAGTCATATTACTGTTCTGCATCAACAAGCTCAAGGTAGTGTGGAACCTCAGGGTCTAACCCTACTTTTTACCAATGATGTGGTTTGGTTGGCTTCTTTAAGCTATGGTGTTCAGCGTGCCTAAGTAATGCACGCTGAAGGTGTGAGTGAAGCAGCATTTTAGCAATCACCCTGTGAAAAACCGACAGCCTGAAATCTAAGTTTACTCAGTCCTTGACAGAGACAGTGGGTTGCTTAGTCACAGCTGATCTGGCAGACATACAGCCAAAGCTAGCAGGTTCAGATAGTGGATCTCCACATTGGATGTTATGTCCCGTTGATATGGAAATGAACAGTCATTCTAAAAGACTAAAAAGTCAGCTAAAACAATGTTGGACTAACCAGCTGTTAGCTTCCACCTTCTCCAAGGTGTCTGTACTTTTCAACAAGCTCATGGTGACACTACAGATAAGGCGAATATTGCTGGTAAAACCTTCATCTGATTAGTCCTCATCAGCACTACTACTACTACAGTCCAGCTGTGCAACATATGGAATTGACAGAGAACCTGCACAACATAGCAGTTTAACTCTGTGGCAGTTAAACATGTCCATGCATAGGGGACAAAGTACTTGCCCTGCTGATCTATAATCAGCAGGGCATTGACTGTCTTTGTGCATTGTTTTTATTCATATTGTTGATTTCAGCTCTTCAATCCAATTTCGTTGACTCAACATATCAGAACAGAAAGTGAAGCAGACCTTGATCTACTTCACCTCGTGTAAATCATCTGTTGAGTAAAGTCCTAGATCAGTTACACAATAAGCCACATTGAGACCTTTAAAGCAGAGATCAGCATGAAATGTTTGAACAATTTCAGTTTTAAAACACTCAGGCCCAAATAAAAAAGAAAAGGAATTAGTTTTGAACATGGGAGGATCCAGGAGAATTGGTTCAACCATTTGAAGACCTGACCATTTGTCAACAGCTCTGATTCACTGTTACTTTGAGAAGAGAAGAGGAGAGTCATGGAATACAGACGGAAGTAAAGAAAGAATTAGCCGGAGGAGATTACTGGGCTCAGGCACCTGCCGGAGGATCATCAGGATCAGGGTTAGGGTTCATCCGCTCTCAGAGTTTTAGTGGTGGCAGGAATAGAAGTGACTTGGCAAGAACAATGACACACCATGCAGTTAGGCACAAAATGCCTCATACTGCTGGAATATTAGGATTTTAAGAAATATTTGTATGCATTTCTTATGACTAGAAGTAATTTTTGCTTCAACTCAAATCTGACAGAGAATCTGCAGGGGAAGCAAAAGATTAAGGTGATGGCAAGAAGGTTTTCTAACCTTAAAGCTAATCCCTTTGGATAAATCCTCAAAATGCCCCTACGCTGTTGTAAGCAGGGTCTGAATGCCTGTAAGCCAATAAAGATTAAGTGATTGACTTTTGAGAAAGATAAAAGTAGTTTTTGACATTTTCTTTGTTTTACAGAATATTTTAAAAAAATTATTTAATAAAAAATCATGACAGATGGTCATTTCTCATTTCCAGGCTGGGAAAGAAACAGCCAGGAAGAACCAAGAATCTCATTTTGGTTAAATAAATAATAAATAATAAAATCTTAAATCTAAATCCATCAGGCTTATAATTTTGGGGTTTACCATACATACCAGACCTGTTATTTGTGTAAATATTTTAGAAAAGTCTGTGCATTCTCAGAACCAGAACCAAACATGGAGAAGCAGCATTCAGCTTATGCACCACCAATCTGGAGCAAACTTCCAGAAAACTGTAAAACAGCTGAAACACTGAGTTCCTTTAATTTAAGGCTAAAGCCCTACCTGTTTAGTTTCTTTTGACCTATAATAAATGGAACATTGGCCAATATATTCGACCTGATGATTTTAATTATGGCAATCATCAAAATGTAATATTTGTCCCTGGTTTCCTAATTATCGACTGTATGTTCTTTTTATTATGTAACTTTGAACTAACTTGTTGCTCAGATGTGTTTTATAATTAAACTTCAACCAATCAACTATTGGTTGATTGATGTTTTTGGGTCTAAAGTATGTAAAACTCAAAGAAGATGACAAGCTTGTTAAATGTTCATAAAATAAAGCCAAAGTATTTGAAAATGATAAAAGTAAATGTGTGGATGTCAGAGCAAACAAAGAGAAAGAAAAAGAACAGTCAGGTCAAAGTACTCTGTATTTTTACTTTTTTGCTGATTTCTTATCAGTTCAGCACACTTTACATGGTCTGCTTCAGCTATAACAAGTATCAGTACACAAGGAAGAGGTCTGTGAACTGAACATGTGACAGAGGTCATCTGAAGGAGGCAGGGATGATGTTGAGAGGTTTTTTGCAGAGCTGAGAATAAGCTGACATCTTCATCTGCCCAGCTTTCTAACCATACAGCCAGATACGTTAGCGGATTTAAAGAGAAGCAGCAAAAGCTAACGAGGTGGATTAGCTGTGCCTGGTAATAACCGATGGTGTCACTCAGGAAATGTTACTGCGGAATATAATCTTTGTTGCCTGCAGTCTGATTAGCTGTTGGTATGTCATGATAGTCATGAAACTATAGTACAGCAAGAGTCTTCAGTCAGAGGCCTCTTCGGATTTGTTGCTACAGACTCACCAATGAAACTTTGAAGATAGTTGGATGATAGGATTCATAAGAACATCCTTTGGGATAAATAAAGTGTTTTTAAATTTGAAGTAAGCTTCTTGCCAACATGTGTGAAAACCTCTGCTTTAAAGGCCTGCTTGCTCTGGGATTTGCAGAAGTCATGACTCCATCAGATTTCTACTGAAGAGTTGTTCTGCTATAGAATGACTTCATAGCAAAATATTACTCAAATATGTTTGAAATAATTTGGTTCTGTTGAAGGCAGATATGTTTGATAGAACATTTACAACAAAGCAGTTTTCAAGCCATATTGTATGGCTTGAAAACGTTACTTTCCCATTCTACTCATTTTGGCCATAATGGACAACAAATAAGCCAGACTGACACTAAAAAGGATGAAAGTCTTTTTGGTTTTTAGATTGTAATTTTAATTTGCTCGTCTCTAATGAGGCGAAGAAGACAGCAAGTTCATCTTTTAAGAAAGTTGTCACCACAGGTCCAGAACCTTGGACACCTAAAATCTCAGTTCGATTGCCGTGGTAACATAGAGGAGGAGGTGACACTGGAAGGGAAGGGGTAAAGGGTTACCATCAACCCAGAACCCACAGTTTGACTCATGAAAACGCCACGTCGCGGTGTGTTGATAGGTCAAAGTTTCTTGGTGACATGTTAGTGAAAACAGAGAGTGATACCTGGTGCTGTTATGGTGGTGGCTGCGGCACCCGGCTTCAGCGGGCCACCAGTTCTTCTGACTCCCCCTCCTCCGGGGCCAGTGTGACAACAGCGGGTTCCAGTAGCGGATGACCCAGCCGGGGGAAGCGGTGTCCGGGATGGTTGTCCCCCGACTGATGAGACGCATATTTGGCTGAACAAAGCGGAACAACGACGAGCTGAATTCATTGTGAACTGTCGGGAGCCGCACTAAAAAAGCCTTTCGTCTTTCTAATGTTCCCCTTCACGCGGCTTCTTCTCTCTCTGTGTAGAACTGAAGGAAGACGGAAAACCGGCCGGTAAGTTACATCATTTTTCTGAGTTACGGAACGCCGGTAGCTGAGGTGAAACCCTATTGGTGGGATAGTCCACAATGCTCTGTGAAAATCTCACAGTTACAAAACAAATGCCATTTACAATAACAGTGATTATATCGTGTTAAATGTAGATATATAATTAGCGTAACAAATTAACAAAAACTTCAATTTGAAGAGCTGCTCATCCACCTGTCACCCCTACTGTGCAGCTGTGGTTTGAGCCACGCTGACTTTTGTAAGGTTGAGCGGAAACTCATGAGAAAAAAGGGCGTTACTTTTCCTACACTTCAGCCAATCAGCGTTCTGGAATTTTACAGCACAAGTATGACGAATTTTGACATCAGCAGCTCTCCGGTTTCCCCACAGAGGGGACTTTACGTCGATTAATTGATTTTTTGTGAAACTTACTCACTGTTCCGCCTCATTGATCACCTAAGCAATGATCAATTCCTTTCTGTACTTATATGTGTAAATGCTTCATGTTTTCTAATCAAGGAGCTTTTACTGAATGTCCCCTGTACTTGTTAGAGTTCATCAAGGTCAAACTCCTGTTCAGAAACCATTATGTAACCAGATAAGGGAGCAATGGTGTCAGAGGTCAGTACAGGCTCTGTGCTGGGTTGTCATCCAATGTCTGAATGTTGTCACGGATGTGTTTGTGTAAACAAGACAAACGTCATAACAGTTGCAAATAGAAGGATATTAAACACAGCTCTAATATGTCTGACGTTTCACAAGTTTTTATCGATCTGACCCCTCTTCCAGTTGAACTGATGGTAAACACGGAGAAGAATCTCTTTAAAAGTTCATGACTTAGCAAGTTACTGGTGTCACACTGGTTGGTAACAAAATACCACCTGGGAATCTAACTCTACGAACCCAAGAGAACTAAAGCTGTTAGTGGACATTAATTAGGGATGGCCACTAAATAAGTAATATTAGGCATTACCAAATGGCTTAACATTCTGTACTGATCCATCCAATGTCCTCTACTGACATAAGATTTGTTGATGAAGGTAGCATTTTCTGTCTGGAAAACCAGCCCCTCCCTTTTAATCTCACAGTGTACTATAGTTTCTCCAGGAAATGATGAGTCTGGCCGACGTCTCATCCAAGTGAGATGTGTCTGACGAGACATCTCACAGTGAATTGCAGTGAATTGGACTCGACATGGACAAACAAATCCAGTGACTATTGAAACAACATTTTTTGATGTTGTTTTTGCTGATTTCTTGTTTGAGAGAGTGTCCTTGTGCATGGTTCCCCTCTATCAGAACTTCTTTTAATTTTCTATACCAGCAAAAATTAGAATAAATAAATAAACAAACAAATAAATGAATTAAAACCTACAATAATGACAGATACACCTCAGCCCAGCTCACTTCCTTTCTGGGGTAATTTGTTGTTGGTGTTATGTGCTGCCATTTAGTGGTCATCTAGTCATACTGCACAAATTGGACAGTCCGCCATGGTTTTTCGTTTCAAAAAGTAAAGTGAATAAATACTGGAAAGCTTTTGGGTGTTTTTAAATTTTCACTAAGTCATTGTTTTTTTAATTACTACTCATGACCTTTACCAAAACATATTTCACTTATTTAAAGTAGATTTTAGTGTAATAAAACAATTGTTTCTAAATTTTGCTTTTGAAAGAAAGACACACTAACTCTGGGATTATTGTTGATTTACATGGAACCAAATAGACCTGACTATGTGAAGATGGATGAGTGTTGCCTTTAAGATTTATCACTGTTATCCAGAGATGAAAAGTCCAACTGAGAGGGGGGTAGAGTACCCCCAAAGTTTTACTCAGGTAAAAGTACTCAGGCACTCAGGTAGTACTTCAACATATTTTTATTCAAGTAAAAGTAAAGCTTAGCCATCCAAGAAGTGACTAAAGCATAAAAAAGTGTTTTAGAAACTACTCATGTTCTGAGTAATTGATCATAAAATCTGAGTCAATATGTTACAATGATGTCATCAAAGAGAAAAAATGTGTAAAATTATGCATAAGTTCTGATATTTTTAAGACAAAAATGAAACATTAATACAAATAAATAGATGAATAATGAAGAAATAAATTAAACATGTTAAATAGATTAATTCCTCAGAGATGGAATATAAAAACATAAAAATGATAAAACC